CAGGCTAAATAAAAAACAATCACTGTATAATGTGTCCCCTGCTGTATAGTCCAAAACCACCGCACAATGTCTCTGTGCAACAAATACTGGCGAGATGGCACCGTGTTGAAAAGTCCATACAGTGTCTGGGAGTTAAAATGGCCGCCATCCATTGTTCTCACCATGTGCTTCTGATACAGGAAATGGTGGCCACCCAGTAACTCCATAGTATGTCCCCAGATGGTTCTTAAAAGGGCCAGCAGCAGAACCCCGCGAGTGAATGGCCGCATAAACTCTGAGCTCCGCCGCGGCCTAGCCTGAAACCACCGCTATCAGCAGCACCTGAGCCCCGAAAACACCCCACGTTCCCCCCCCCCAATACCCACACTCACCCTCCCCATGGGCGGAGGGAAGAAAGCCCGCAACTCCTCCGTTGCACCGATCTTCAGGCAGAAGCCTGAACAACAGCGGGCGCCATCTTTGGAGCCCCTCCCGTCGGACTCAGACTCCGAAATGAGCAGCCAGGCACCCTCGGAGAGGACGGAGGCACCGCTGACGAGGAGGGACATGCAGGGCTTCCTGGCTGACTTCAAACAATCTGTGGCCGAAGAACTGGACAAACGTATTTGCCCCATACTAGAAGGTATGGCAGACCTGTCAGCCCGTGCACAGGCCGCAGAGGCCAAAATGGCGGACACAGAGGAGATCGTGCAGGCCCATGGCAGTGAAATACTGCACCTGAGAGATCAATTACGCTCCCTCGAAGACACCAACGAAGACCTAAATAACAGAACACGTAGGAACAATATCAGGGTCAGGGGCGTCCCTGAATCGGTGTCGCCCGACCTACTCACTGACACCCTCACGGAGGCATTTCAACACCTCCTACCGGAGGCTACAACAGCTGACCTACTGATGGACCGGGCACACCGAGCCCTCAGAGCCCCAAGCACCAACGCTGCCGTACCCAGGGACATAGTGGTGCGCCTCCACTTCTATCACATCAAGGAGCGCATAATGCGCGCAGCCAGGGATACCCCCATCGAGGTAGAGGGAGCGCCAGTACAACTATATCAAGACCTGGCTCCCACCACCTTGAAACGCCGAAGAGAACTACGCCCACTCACACAACACCTAAGCAGCCACGGCCTCCGCTACGCGTGGGGTCACCCTTTCAAAATAATTATACGCAAAGATGGCAGGTTCCACTCCCTCACAAGACCGGAAGAAATCCCTGCGCTTCTGACCCAGCTGAACTTACCGCAAATCCCAGAAACACCTCACTCCAACGCCGAATCCTCAGCACGACAACCACCGAGCAATAACCCGCCCGCCAGGACCGGTGACCGTCCCCATCGCAACACGGCACTGCAGAATCCAGGCGCAACACGTTAGGAGAACCTGAGGGTTGGGGGGACGGTGGCGCTGACACATCTATCCGACCCCGCGTCCCCTACACCCCACTCTCACCCCAGCTTGCCTTGTCTCACCGGCTCCCCTATGCCCCGCCGGACCCACCAACAGCCAGCGACAAGCACAGACATATTATACAGTTGCATCGCTGCACAGAAGGCGCTCAATCCGGATCCGGGGAAACCAGCACCACTTAGACCACTCAGACAGCACAGAACGACCCTGACCACAACCAAAGGGCGGAAGACGCACCAGCATGGACAGGCCCCGGCGAGCTCGGCGACAACACCCCAACGCCGAGCCTACCCCCGGCTCCAGCCCCAGAGCACACCCGACATCGCCCGGACTCCCAGCGGCACCACAGGAACATATCCTCAAGGCCACACCATCACAGGCTACACCAAAGTTTCCAGCACCGAGGAACATGCACAGAGACAATCCCCCCGACACGCCGATTGACATGAACGGGAGAAGGCACCTGACAAGACTCTCCTCTCCGGCACCCCCCTCCCGGGCACCTACCACCACAGGACCCCATCACCATGAGACTCTATGCCTTGGACATTGGGCCGTACACCGCAAGTATGGTTTAAAGGGGGCAGCATACACACGATCCCCTAAACATCCTGTGAAGCGCTTATCGCCCACAGACAACCTCCAACGGGGCGGGCGAGGGACCCAGAAGTTGGGATGGGGGGGGAGTTCCGGGGGGGAGGGGGGGTGACGGGAATGACGGGGCGACGGGGGACCGACAAACCCGCCCCTCCGGCATGACCTGCACCCCGCACTCTGACTGACGGAGACCATACACCGGCAGCAACCGCTGACCCCCCCAACCCCGACCTCCCGACAACAGGCACATGACCGATACCATGGCCCCACTAGCCCTATACATGCCCGACGGGGCAAGGAGCCAGGGACGCTCCACACACATGACTCACGGACAAGGGACAAGCACCACCATCACATGCACAGCGCATGCCCACATCAAGCACGACTAGCCGGCAGCAACCACACACAACACTGCCCCACCTGCTCCCAGGCCTCACACACACCCTGATCAAAGGCAGACCGACCCCTAACCAGTTGACCGGACGCCGAACCGCAGACTAGGTATAGACGCACACGACCGCTCTTTGGATAAACCGTGGACCTACGGGACAATTCTTACATGTGATAGAGAGCACCAGCTCAGACCACTGCTCCCTCTGACCCCCCCTTCCTTTTTTTTTTTGATACCTCTGCTCAAGGCATTAACAATTTGTTCAAATGTTATAACGTTATAATGTTGCATTGTAAATGTATGCATGTTTTACACAGGAACCGGCTGTTACCCGCTCCCACAGACCACGACACACACTCTGAACCTCAGACCGCGGAGGCACAACCAGGCCCTCTTGAGAGCCGATAAGGCCGCAATAGACAACCCACACTCCAGGCCATCTCACCACCACCCACGACATGAGGTCACCCCTCCACTGCCCCTTCCGGACACACCCTACTGGCAAATCAGAGCTTTAATAGGACAGAACTCGTCCCTATGGCATGCATACGCACCCCCAAAATAGGGATATACGCGCACGCAGGACCCACACACAAAGGGACACCTGACACACACACACACAGGGATAGCGATATCCGGCGGGTACACCACCCAGAATTTTTGATACACCCGCCTCACGAAGAGAATGCACACGCCCGCCACACGACGGGACACACACCCAAAAGCCCTCATACACCACCCATCCAACCCCAGGCTCAGCCACAGCAACAGGACCATGGGCAGGCCGTGGGCGGAACCTGCCACCACTTGTGTACACCCCTTCCCACCGGCCTCGATACTCCCGAGGACTGCCGCGCGGACCTTGGGACGGACAACCGAGGCCCCCGCCTAACCTCGACTGGCCAGCTTGATAAGCCCAGTCCCTCACACACCGCCCCCGCAGGGCGTCAGCGGCGACCCGAAAGACCCGCGCGGGCGGGACCCTACTAACCCACCCCTGCTACCACCCTCCACCACCCCTGCCGACCCCACTCAGACTCGACTGCCCAACGCACCCCGAACGGACGCCTAGCTAACCGGCGCCCCTCGCACCACTGCCGGATCGTGACCACCCCCACGCACCAGTATGGCACCGCGGAACCTCCAAATCCGCTTCATTTCCCTCAACGTCAAAGGACTCAACTCGCCAGGGAAAAGACATGGGATACTACGTTGGGCCCACCGCACGGGAGCGGACGTCGTCCTACTTCAGGAAACCCACTTAACCGATCACAAACAGTTCCCGCTACTTAATAGGCACTATAAGAGATATTATTTGGCCAACTCGCCAGAAGCAAAAACGAAAGGAGTTGCAATATTGCTGCGAAACTCGTGCCTTCTGGATGACATACAAACCCGCAAAGACCCCTCAGGGAGATTCCTCTTCCTCACAGGACGAGCGGGCACGACTACACTAACAATATGCTCCCTGTATGCCCCTACCAACCCGGATGCAACATTCTGGAACACATTTAAGACCCACCTCACTAGCCTCTCAGCCAAACACCTAATCATAGGAGGAGACATAAACGCGACCCACACGCCTGCCATAGACCGCAGATCTCAGTCCGGTAGCGCACCCTCCTCGACCAGGAATGACAAATTATATGCAGATTTTCTACTGGAAACCCCTTTACTGGATGCCTGGAGATTCCAACACCCGACCGCCGCGGACTTTACCTTCTACTCCCACGCACACAAGTCATACTCCCGTATCGATAGTTTCCTCATATCCCCAGCCGTCCAGCCCTGGACCATTCACACACACATTGGAAACATTGCGTGGTCCGATCACGCGGAAGTCGCGCTGACGATACAGATCCCACTAAGGGCGCGCCCGTGGCGATGGAAACTCAACCCATGGATACTCAAAGACGCGGCCACGGTCCACACAGTGTCGGAAAACCTTAAAACCTACTTTGAACTCAACGCCACCGACGACATGGCGCCGACAACGGTTTGGGCAGCCCATAAAGCAACGATCAGAGGACACCTAATAGCAATAGCCACGGCCCTCAAAAAGCAACGCCTACGGAAAATGGTAGACGCCCTGGCTGACTTAACAAGACTCGAAACCCTACATAAACAAAATCCGTCAGACTCGCTCCTGACGCAGCTCAAAACGACACGGGACCTCATCACACAACTCTCAGCAGCAGACGTGGCGAGGAATCTCATGTGGTCCAAGCAACGATTCTATGAAAAGGGCAACAAGGCGGATACACTATTGGCACGCTGCCTCAAAAAACGTCAGGAAAATAAGACGATATCGAAAATCCGAACTAGGTCTGGTGAAACGACGACAAACCCAGAAGCAATAGCCCAGGAATTCCTTCAATACTATACAGACTTGTACAACCACGCCACTCCAACGCCCACGGGGGAAATAAACCAGGCGGAAGCCACCTCCTCATTCTTACGACCCCTCAACCTACCCACCTTATCCAGCAGAGCACAAGCCATGCTGGACACACCCATCGAGGCCGAGGAGATCGCCCTGGTCCTCAAGACACTGAAACCCAGAAAAAGCCCAGGACCGGATGGCTTCACAGCCATCTACTATAAGACGTTCCAGACCATACTAATACCACATTTATGTAAGGCCTTTAACTCGCTGTTGCAGGGACACAAACTCCCCACTGACATGCTGCGAGCAGACATATGCCTCTTACCCAAGCCAGGGAAGGAACAGCTTGACCCGGGACACTATCGCCCAATATCGCTCTTAAACACCGACCTGAAAATACTCACGAAGACCCTTGCCAACCGCCTCAACCAGCACCTCCCATCCTTGATCCACCCAGACCAGGTCGGCTTCATTCCCAAAAGGCAGGCGGCCGACAATACCAGGAGAGCCTACGATACGATCTGGTATACCAGGCACCGTAACATCCCATCGGTAGTGCTCTCGCTGGATGCCGAGAAGGCATTTGATCGTCTTCTCTGGCCATATATGTTCGGGGTACTGGCACACTTGAACTTCCCGATAGGATTCCTGAACATCTTACGGGCAATATACAATCGCCCAACAGGGCAGCTCCTACTCCCACACGTCGAAGCCCAAACCTTTAACATAGCTAACGGAACTAGGCAAGGATGCCCCCTCTCCCCACTTCTTTTTGCAATCTCCCTGGAACCATTGCTTCAAGCTATACGCACCCATCCCAACATACAGGGAGTTCGGATCAGGCAAGACACGTACACCGTAGCAGCCTACGCAGACGATGTACTTCTAACGTTGACGGACCCTGTCCCTTCCCTACACGCCATACTCTCTATCATCGACGACTATGCCACCATATCCGGCTATAAAATCAACATAACTAAATCAACGCTAATGCCTATCACAATATCACCCTCGCAACTCCGTCTGCTTCGCGGCTCCTTTCCCTTCCGCATCACCACGACCGCCCTTACATACCTAGGCACCAAACTAGCGCCGACACTGGACGACATCTATGGCCTCAACTACACGCCACTCCTCACAACGGCGTACTCGGACTTGCAGCGGTGGGACAGGCTAGGAATATCGTGGCTGGGAAGAGTCACCACCATCAAAATGAACCTCCTCCCGCGGTTCCTCTATCTTTTCCAAACGCTGCCCATCCCGATACTCAAAACGGACTTCAATCGCCTCCAGGCAGCCATAGACAAATTCATCTGGAAAGCCAAAAGACCCAGAATACGCAGAGCTACTATGTACACCCCAAGACTCAGAGGAGGACTGGGGCTACCCAATTTTCAGCAATATTACCATGCTGCCCAACTGGCCCACATCCAACAATGGCATGCCCCCCCCGGTACCAAGCGCTGGGTGGACTTGGAACACGACATCCTGGGCTGGGACCAACCTTCCTCGTACATGTGGGTACCGCGCATACATCGACCACTCCCCCCACCAACTTCACCGGCAATCACCCACACTCTAACTCTCTGGGACAAGCTCAACCCAAAATATGACCTATCCTCCTTCCTCTCCCCGGTAACACCGATATACCGCAACAAACTCTTTCCCCCCGGGATGACGGCGAAACACTTCCTAGCGTTTGACCAGCGAGACATCTCGAGGCTACTCCATCTGTACCGTCAGGGGGAAATATTCAGGTATGACGAACTTCCCCATGCGGAAACGCTGAACACGGCAGATCACTTCCGGTACATACAGCTGCGGGACCTGGCGCAAC